TTCATACTATTTGTTTTATTTTCATAATAGTATGTATCTAGTACTTGGATATTTTGTGTTTACTCTTTTATCTCTCATGAACTTAGTTCATGAGAACAGAGACCATGTCTTTCTTGTTCACTGCTCTATTTTTCACCAGTGTCTGGAATATCAGGTGGAAGGGGTTCAATAAATGTTTATTGATAAATGAAAGAGACAGGGATTATTCTGGGAGAGTAACTGTTGGGCTAAAACAATAGATTGTTTGGTGTTAAGCATAAATACACATCAGAAAGTATACAAAACATATGTATATATCAAATATTTATACACAAACATACATACATGTAGTTTAGAGAATCTTAAAGTAAGTGCCAATGTATTAACCCTCAGGTAAAAAATTGAAAATCGCCACTATTTTTGAAGAACCAATTTGCCCACCCCATGACATTATTATCCCTCATCTCCAGAGTAACCACCATCAAGATTTTTTGTTAATCATTCTCACCTTTTATATATATACTTGTGCACCTAAATATGTGCTGTAAATTGTTTTGGAAAACTGGAACAGAAATGGTGAGATCTGGCTCTTAGATGAGGCTCTCAGAAGAAAAGCCATGTTGAGCCAGGGGAACACAGGCTGCCCCAGCTTGCTGAGACCTTACAAAGCCATGTCTGGGAGAATCAGGATCAGTGGGATAGGTCTGGAAAGTGCCAGGAGAAATGCACAGTGCATCAGGCACCAGGCAGGGCTCTTGTGTGAACCAGATACTTCATGGCCAGTGGAGACAAGGTCAGAGCCAGGGGTTGCTTTGTATTTTTTGCTTCTAAATATGGCCTCCAGGATTGGTCAAAAAAACCCACAACATTTCAGTGAGGTGAAAAAGGGCCTGTGGTGATCTAAACAGCATATTGTAAGACAAGCCAAGTGTAGGCAAGTATAGAGGCCAAGCTCACTGGGACATTCTGTCCTTATGCTTAAAAAGCATACAAAATCACTTGAATAGAATCCAAGCTGTGACTGGTACCCTATATATATATTTATTTATTTATTTATCATGTAATATTTATTTATTTTTACATTGTGCCTTTGGGCCGACCTAAAACAGACTTTATTGGATAAGGATAAATTCCATTTGAACTCTTGTTTCAAGGGGCAGAGCTGCAACTCAAAAGGATTTACACAAAGTGGATTTATTTGACCTATATAACTGAAGAGTCTATGGGCCTAATTTTATTGCTTCGACTTCCTGGTGGGTACATAGATGCTCATTATAATAATCCTCTTGACTATATGAAATGTTTAATAATGAAATAAAACAAAACAAAATAGAACAAATGTGAAGTGTGGATCCCAGGGTGTGAGAATTGTCACCAGACTTGGTCTCTCCTTTTCTTGGTTGGTTCTCTTTCCTCCAGAAAGCCCCTTCAGTTCCAGGCTTGATCCACTGGTAGGACAGTGGAAGAAAGCTTGTCTCCTCCAGTTTCAGAAGTTCCTGAATGGGCCATAGGACTGAGTCAGGATCTAAGCCAATTCTTATAGCGCCCTGTGGCTAGAGGTGTGTGGTGCTCTGATGGGTTGGACCAGGCTCACACACCCACCCTGAGCTAAAGAAGGAGTCTAACTACTCCTCTTCCTTCTCCCATGCATGGTTTGACAACAGATATTGTAGGGTTTTGACTAGAAGTATGGGGATGGATATTTGGCAGCAGAATTGATCTCTAATTTTACTCTGTCTGAGAAGATACATGGTATATTTTCTATTTTTTTAAAATTTGTTGAGATCTGATTTGTGGCCTAGGATGTGATCAATTTTAGAAAAAATTTCATGAGCTGATGAGAAGAATGTATATTCAGTTTTATTTGAGTAGAATGTTCTGTGGATGTCTGTTAAACCCATTTGTTCTAGAGCTCTGTTTAAGTCCATTGTTTCTTTGCTTATTTTCTGCTTGGAGGATCTGTCCAGTTCAGTCAGTGGGTTATTGAAATCCCCAGCTACTATGCCATTACTGTTTATTGTGTTATTTAGATGAAAGAGGATTTGCTTTATGTATCTGGGCACTTCTGTGTTGAGTGTATAAACATTAAGAATTGTTAAGTCTTCTTGTTGGATTTTTCTCTCCACCACTATTTAGTGACCATCTTTGTCTTTCTTTACTTTTGCTGTTTTAAAGTTTTTGTTATCTGATATAAGAATAGCTGCTCCAAATTTCTTTTGGTTTTCATTTGCCTGGAAGATTGTTTTCTAACCCTTCACCTTGAGTCTGAAAGTGCCTTTGTGGGTAAGATGTGTTTCCTACAGACAGCAGATAATTGGCTTGTGTTTTTTTTTTTTTAATCCACTCAGCCAGTCTATGTTTCTTCAGTGGACAATTCAAGCCACTCACATTTATTGAGATAATTAATATTTGGGGTAGATTTCTGTTTATACTGTTGGATAAATTCTTATTGTTTTATTTTACCTCTCGAGCCACTGCGAAATCAGGGTTCTGGACTTTAACTCTTGAGTGATTTTACACTGGTAGATGTTCAGTGTATAATGCATTTCTGAGTACTTCCTGCGGGACAGGTCTGGTCTTTGCAAATTCCATCAGTGATTGCTTGTCTGGGAAAGTCTTTATTTCTCCCTCATATATGAAGCTTAGTTTTTCCAGATAAAGAATTCTAGGTTGGCCATTATTCTGTTTTAGAAGATTGAGGATAGCTCCCCAGTTCCTTTTGGCTTGTAAGGTTTCAGTTGAGAAGTCTTCAGTTAGTCTGACAGGTTTTCACTTGTATGTTATCTGCTGTTTCTGTCTTACTACTTGAAGGAATGCCTCTTTTATGTTTACTTTGGTCAGCCTAATAACTATGTGACATGGTGATTGCCTTTTCACAGTGAGTCTCCCAGTTCTGTGTGCTTCTTGTAGCTGGATATATAGATTTCTGGCCAGGTCAGGTAAGTTTTCTTCCATTATTCCAAGAAATAGATTTTCCAGCCCTTGTGTATTTTCTTCTTCTCTCTCTGGGATGCCTATAATTTTTATATTTGGTTTCTTTACATAATCTCACATTTCTTGTATGTTTTGTTCATGTCTCTTGCTTCTGTGTTCTTTTTCTTCATCTGATTTGTTTAGCATATAGGCATTATCTTCAGGCTCTGAGGTTCTTTCCTCTGCATCATCCAACCTATTCTTGAGGCTTTCCATGGTGTTTTGTAGTTTCTTGAATGCCTCTTTCATTTCCAGTATTTCTGTTTGTTTCTTTCATAATTCTTCAATTTCTTTAGAGAATTTTTCATTTATTTCCTGAACTGTTCTTGTGGTTTCTTTGTGTTGAGTTTCTATTTTCTCTTCAATTCCATTGAGTTTTCTTACATTCCATATTCAGAATTCTTTCTCTGTCATTTTAATAATTTTGGTTATGTTGGTATCCACTGTTGAGGATCTAATGATTTCTTTTAGAGATGACTTTTCTCTCTGGTCTTTCATGTTTCCTGCATTATTTCACTGATTCTTTCTCATCAGGCTTCTTCATCATGAACTGCGGGTGCTAGGACTGATTTATGGCCCTATCTCTAACTTCCCAAAGGGACTTTCTTTGACAGTGCTGGGAAGAGGCACAATGGTCCTGTATTGCCTTAGGGATATTTTAGCAAGTTGAGTTACCTCTCATCTGTTGTTTTCACTTCTTGCCAATGGAAGCTAGTGAGTTTGGTCCCCCAGCTTAAGCTCCAAGCTGGTGGATTGCTCTTGTGGGTATGACTCCACTACCCTCTAATAGCTTGAGATGAAAGACACTGTGGTTAAATTATTGGATTACACTCTCTGTCATTGATTGTAATTTGCATGGAGGAGCCAATTATAGAGGTAATCTGATCTCTTTGTGGTAGGCCCTGATCCCCCACATGAGGTGTATGAATGCCCCAATCTCTGGGAGAGGCCTTGCTACTCCAGAGGGTTGCTTGGACCCTGCTTCCCCTTAAGATGGCAGTAGGGAAAAGATAGATTGCAGCTAGTGTCTGCAAGCCTGCGTATGTGTGCTTCTATGGTTGCTTGACCTTCCACTAGGGCAAGTCACCAATATGTTATTCAAGGCTCTTTCACCACACTTGGGAAGCTGCTCCTGATGGGAGGGGTCAATTGATATAATTGCTGAGGTCTCTGGCCAGGTTTTTCCTTCCCTGCCTGTAATCCCCAATGTTGGTGACCACCAGAACCCAGAAAGCAACCTGGAGTTATGTTCTTATTAGATGACCTAAGCTGGTCCAGTGGGCAGAATCAACAGGGTGCTAACTATTTTTCAGTTCCAAAGTCCCACAGATTTATGCCAACCACACAGAGTAAGTGGCTTTTCTCTATTCTCCCTACCTCCAAAGGTGGAGTCTGCCATGCCCAGCACAAAAGCCCCTGGGCTATGGGAGGGGTGTTGTCCAAAATTGCTCTATGCAGCTGTATCTCCTGGCTGGGGATTCAAAAGATGGAGGCCATCTTCCCCTGGACAGCTAGCATTGGGGGCAGCCACTCAAGAATTGGCAGAGGCCAGTCCAGTGGGCTGAATCAATAGGCTGCCAGCTGTTACTTTTGCATCACAGTCCCATAGTCTCACATCTGTCACATAGACAGCACAGCTCTTTTTGTCCTGCCCTGAGGCAGCAGAATCATCAGTGGTTTCCAAGGGCAGAGTCTTCTTTTCAGCATTCACCTCCTGTGTGCTGGTCCCGGTGCCCACCAGAGGAAAGGTGCCTGTCTCCAAACTCCCTCCTGTGGTTGTGGTCACATGGAGTAACCACTCAGACCAGTCTTTCCTCTGCCCAGTGTGGTCCTAGCACATAGCACCAGAATGTTTAAAATGTTTCCTGAAATTTTCTCCTCTCCACAGAGCCTGTCATCCCAAGCCATGACTTTGCACTGACTTCAGGCACATCCCATCTGATGGGTGTGGAGGTCTGTGGGGGAGCTGGGTGTCCTCCCACACTGCACTCTGTTCCCTATTGTATTTCTTACACTCTGCAGTCTTTGTGAATGTATCTCCCTTTCACCTTTTTTCCTGTGCTGTGTGTCCCATGCTGTTTCTGTGCAGATTCCCAACGCTGTCCTTGGGTGGTAGGGGGAGGGATTGATCCACTCATGTGTAGCCATCCCAGTTCTTCACCTCCCTCTCTGGGAGCAGAGAGCCTGGAGGCCACCACTAATCTGCAATTTTCCCAAGCCTGACATTCATACCAAGACGTTTTTCTTGACCAAACTCTAGCCAGGCTTCTCTGGGCATTTTCTCAATGAGGCATCAACTTCAACCTATGAAGACAAGAACAAACACTAAAATTCAGTCTCCCAGTCTCTGTGAGAGAGTAGGAGACTAACTTCAATAAGCACCAACAGCAAACTCAGATGGGTTTCACCAGGACCAACTCTCCCTGACTCTACTGAGTCCCCGCTCCCTCCTTCTTTCTCTCTAAAGTGCCCAGTGACCTTTGTACACATGAAAGTTGAGTTCAGTCCATGCTGGGCTCTTTTCCCTATTGCAATAGTATTAAAATAGGCCTGACAAAAACCTGATTACAGTTTGTCTTTATCACTTTAGCTTTGTTTATCTCTGACACCGATATCACCTGTAGGATAAAAAAGAAATTACTGTAGAAGTTAAGTGCCAGTACGTTTCAGAAACAAATGTTCTAAAACCAAAAATCTAGAGAAGGCTTCCCTCTACTGGTGTAAAATCTTGGTTTGGTAATGTGCATGTGCGTGTGTGTGTGTGTGTGTGTGTGTTTCTTACACCCAATTTTTTGTATGCTTACCCAGTTATTACTGTCTTTGTTAAAAACATGACTTCTACACAGCTCATCATTAGAAACCATCATATTCCAGACCATCATGTGGGTGCAGAGTAACCAGTAGGCATGCTACAGTTTGTGTGAGAAAGGAAGGGAAGGAAAATATAGGGATACACATATAAGATATTAAATACATGCATGTAGGTTGGTAGGTAGGTAAGTAGAGGTAAATAGATAGATCTGCTTATATTTTCAAAACAAAACACTAGAAGATAGACCAGAAACTAATGAAAATACTTACTGGTTTGAGATGGGGATGGGGACATAAACAGGGTTAAGTGAACAGAAATTGAAGTAAACCTTCTTGGAGTGTAGTTTTATGCAATTTTGACTTTTTAATCATGAAAATATTTTACACATTCAAAAAAGTAATCCCTAAATTTGAATTTATTAAAAAAGACACTAACTATATATACATATATCAAAATTTAACCTAACTATACAGAGGAAAGAATTATTTTAGTTGACTTTAAAATGTAGTATTCTTGCTGACAGCCCTTCGAAAAATACATTCTCAGGACAAAATAAGCTTCAAATTCAGTAGTTTTTTTTGTTAATAGTAATATTAGCATTGCTATTTTGAAATCATTTTATGTGTTTTATAGCGATAATGAAAATAAATGATTGTCATTATCATTATAAAATAAAATTTTCATCTCATGAGATCAGTATAAAATCAAAATAGTTAAATAAAACCCTATAAGCCAAATTTCAATTAATAAATGCCAATTTAAAATCCTTCACACCTGGGGGTGTGTGAAGATTTCAACATATAAATTTTGGGGGCACAAAAGTATTCAGACTATTGCAACAACCTTATAAAATATTGTAACCTTTTTGTTACAAAAGAGGAAACTGAGGCACAGAGAGGTTCAATAATTTGTGCAATATCAAATCCAGGAGGTATATAGTCTTTTCAATAGTTTTATATTTATGTGTGCTTATCCAACACGTAATTGAGTTCTTACTCTGTGTACTCTTCTAGACATGGGGAATATAGCACTGAACTAAACAATGTACCTGTCCTCCTGGAGCTTTTATACCTGTGCAGAAAAAAAATAATAACCAAGTAATTAAGTAATATAAAGCAAGGTATATATCACAGATCTTGATAAGATGATAGAGAATAACAGAGGTAGAATGAGAAGACACCTTTAAGGAACTGAACCCTGTTATTAAAAAATATTTGTATATGTATTTTTGAATAGTAATTTATTCTCTTGGTTCAAATAGTAAACATATAAAAATGATCAGAAAACAGTCTACTTGCAAAAATAAATATGTGAACAAGTAAGTGGAAAAATCCTACTTTTTATTCATTTCCTATTAATCTTTCCTGAAATTTTATGCTTTATGCATATTAAGGACTATAAAACATATTATTTTCCCTTCCTTTTTACTCAAAGGAATATGCATGTATGTATACCATACACTGTCCTATATTTGCTTTGACAATAATTATTTTGGAGATTTTTCCATATCAATACTTTAAAATCTTCTTCATTTTATTTTCACAACTGCCTACATTTTCAGTGTATGAATGTATCATCATTTATTTAACCAGTCCTCTATTGCTAGGCACTTAGGCTGTTTCTAGCCTTTAGTTATTACAAGCAAATGTGCAATGAATAACCTTATACATCAGAGTCAGCAAACTGTTTCTGTAAAGGGCAAGCTAGTAAATATTTTAGGCTTTACAGGCCACATGGTCTCTGTCACAACTACACGCTGCTATTGTAGCATAAAAGCAGCCATAGACAATGTCTATGTAAGCAAATGGGTATGGTTGTTTTTCAATAAAACCTTATTTATAAAAGCAGACATTTGGCTTGATTCTGCCAGGGTTTTGTGGTTTGTTGATGCCTGTCATACATTATTTTATATATATATATATGATATCCATGGAATAAATTCCATAATTAAGAGAATACATGAATTTCTAATTTTGATAAATTCTGCCAAACTACCTTTCACTGAGATAGTATCAATTTCCATTCCCAACAGCAATATATGGAGTACTGCTTCCTTACACTTCACCAACACAGTATCTTCACGCTAACTTCTGGGGTTTTGCCAATTTGTAGGTAGAAAAGAGTATCTCAGGGTAGTTTTAATTTCAATTTCTCTTCTTACAAATGAAGTTGAATAAATATAAAAATTATTACTTTTCCATCAGCTAATTTTTTTTTTTTTATCAACTGGTAGGAGCTCTTTACATAAAGTGAAAATAAGCCCATTCTATGTGATATGAGTTGAAAATAATTTTTCTAGTTTGTTATTCTATTTGTACTTTAACTTTGTTTATGGTGGGTTTTATTTTAATCAATGAAAAGGTTTTGTTTTTATATAGTCACATTGATCAATTTAAGGATTCTGGATTTTGTGAAATAGTTTAAATATGTACCACACTCAAAGGCTATTATAAAACAACTCTCTCGCACTGTATCATTTCAAGCTTTCATCTGTTTGCAATTAGGTCAGATATAAAGTATGCATCTATTTTTCTTGCTTTCCCACTGGTTTCCAAATTGACGCCGTAATGTTTAGTAAATGTTTTGCCTAAACAGTGAGATAAACTTCCCTGATTTCAGTTGATGCCTTTATAAAATATTAAAATGTTCTATATATTTGGGCCTATATTTGGACTTTCAAGTATGTTCCATTGATCTACCTGACCAGCCATGTGCCAGGATGGCACTGTTTTAATTACTAGAACTTTATGGTATGTTTCAGTACCTGGTAGGACTAATGTCCTCCAATGCTCTTTCTTTATTTTATGGTTTTGATATTTTTACTAACTTTTATATGAACTTTAGAATCTCTTTGCCTAGATTTCTTTTTTATTTTTGAGACACTCTGTTGCCCAGGCTAGAGTGCCATGGCATCAGCCTAGCTCACAGCAACCTCAGACTCCTGGGCTCAAGCAATCCTACTGCCTCAGCCTCCCAAGTAGCTGGGACTACAGGCATGTGCCACCATGCCTGACTAATTTTTTCTATATATTTGTTAGTTGGCCCGTTAATTTCTTTCTATTTATAGTAGAGATAGGGTCTCACTCTTGCTCAGGCTGGTTTTGAACTCCTGACCTCGAGCAATCCACCCGCCTCAGCCTCCCAGAGTGCTAGGATTACAGGCGTGAGCCACCACGCCTGGCCAGTGATAGTTTCCAATTATTCTTTAAATTTCTTCTATGTTTATTCTATTTAAATACATGTTCTTTCTCTGCCACCCACTTATTTTGATGGTGGATAGGAGGCAGGGGAGTCAGGATTAGCTAACAGTTTATCTGTTTTACTGTTTCCTAAATAAACATAATATGTGGATTCTTTTTTATTTACTTATAAGTATTTAAGGCCAGGGACTTGCCTCTGAGCATTATTTTAGCTCAGGGCTTCTCATCCTTAGTACTGACATTTTGGGCCAGGTAATTGATGGTTTGGGGGGCTTTCTTGTACATTCCAGAATGTCGAGTAGCATCCCTGGTCTTTACCTGTTAGATGTCAACAGTAATTGCCTCCCCAGTTGTGACAATCAAAAATGTCTTTGGATATTGGTGAAGGTCCTGGGGGCAGGGAGGGGCATGATTCTCAGTTGAGAACCACTGCTGTGATAGTGACTTTTCATTATTTTTTCTATGTGTTCTAAAATTTAGATTTGGGTTTAAATTTTTTTACGTGATCCATTTGTTATTTAAGATAGACTTTCAAATACAGATTCTGGAAAAGCTATGGTTGTTTTCAACAGTCCATATACATATTTTGGAGTCTTAATCCCTAGTTTTACTAAAAATGGAGTTTGTTGTTTTATTATGCATTCTTCTTTTAGACGGTTCCCTGGATTAGAAATGAAAAAGGCTACATTACATAGCCATTGCTATGGAAAGTTTCTCATAGTTAATATTTGCTGTACATAATATATTCCAAGCATTTTCAAAGCATTTTATAAAGACTATTTAATCTTCCTAACAACCCTGTTTGGCAGGTATTATTATTTCCAATTTCTAGACAGGATCAAAATACCTTGCCAAAGATCCCATAGATAACAGGGAGAACATACATATTTCTTAAGAAAGCCTTTAGTTAAAAAAACAGCTCAGTTCCCACGGAAAGGATAAGAATGTAAGGTCAATGTTCGGTTCGGTGAGGGAGGCAAGCACAAGGTGGATTCTTTCTTTGTTAACTCTGGTTGCTCCACAGTGACCTGTGTCTGAAGCATTTCAGCAAATTTGAGTCGTAATTCTCCTTGCCTCCTATGGAAGATGCTTCCCCAGGAGGAACAAAACAGCACCTCAGAGTAGGACATTTGAAACAAAAACCAGCTTCACAGGTACATATGCCAACCCTCCTTTGTGAAAACACTTCCTCTAGTGGGGAAAAAGTCCCTGAGGTTAACAGCAGCCACCAAAGTGGGGACTCTTTGAGTTGAACTAGTTAACAAAACATCCATCCATTGAAAGAGATGGCA